AGCAAGTGAGAGTGAGGGAGAGAGCAAGCGATGGAGGGAGGGGGATGGAGTGAGCAGGGTGCACGGCCTCAGAGAAGGGGCAGGGCCAGGATGTTCAATTTTGTGCGATTAGAAAACTGGCAACCCTAGCTAATAAGCTTATCTCACATTACCCCAACTCTAACATGGGCACTGGCAGGAGCATTTCTCCAACACCTCATACCCAGGGTTTCCTTTGTGATCACAAGTTCATTACAGCCTCAGCTCAGAACCAGCCCTCAATCTTATGGGAACTCAGTATGCCCAGCTCTTCCAACTGTACCCTAAGAATTGGGGCCCTCCTTTGACCAGGCATCCTGTGCGTTTGCTGGATCAGGAAGACAGCCAAGAGCCAGTTTAAAACCAAGGTTTCTGGATAAATAGCCTTGTCTGTTGGTCCCTGGTGAATCCAGTCTGAATTAGTATATGCAAACTTTTTCAGGGAGGTGACTTCAAAGGGTTGATAATGGAGGATGTACATTAACATCTGCCTTCCTACCTAGGAAAGTACCTGCAATCCCACAATACAAACAATTCCATTTTTAATACAATGTACTCCAAAAGCCTAATTCAGTAAGGCTTAAGTAAATTCAATAAAGTTTATCTTAATTCCATAAGATTTGTTCCAACAATTACAGGATATTGCTAGTTTGTCACACCCAGTTTATACCCTCACACCCCCTAAAGACAAAAAAACTATCAAGTCATTTAGACCCAAATTCTTCCCTCATATACACAGTTGTAACTCGTACAGACCTCAATGTCACAGATGTCCGTCAGAATTTGACCCCAGTTTTAATTATAATGGCAACAATAGAAATATTTAGTAAGACCATTCCAAGTTAAAGTTATGCTTCAAAATCAGATCTTGTAATTCTTTTCAAATATCTGACAAGAAAAACTTATAAACTATAACTCCCAGAACCAAGTGCATAAAACATTCAAGCCTGGTAGCTGTCCATTCTACCTTAAATACTGAGTGCAATCCATTTAAAACATTGAGTTATTTATCAAGAATTTTTCATGTTTGTCACTTTTTAAAATACAGTCTTTCATCCCACTCACATAAGTAAATGTATTGTGGTATTTCTCAGTCTAAGTATAGTTAAATTAGCAAATGTCACCATAAAGTTAAATTCTGCAGTAAACTATTTTTTAAAACACAACAGTGTCACTATTCATACTGGTCCAGCAACCACTTTCATGAGGTGGATTGTATTCCTTTTTAACCTTACACCAGGCTGTTTAAAAAAAGAAAGGACTGGGTGGAGTTCACCCGCCAACAGAGCCTACCTATAACCACATAGGTAACCTATAAGCCAATCTTTTCCCTCCAGCCACCAAGGAGCCAGAAGCACTAAAAAAGCATTCCCAGCACCCTCAAGCAACTGCCTCTGACTGAAATACTATGAGTGGACTCAGTAAGAAGCTACATTCAGTCTTATTTCAGAGTAGCAGCCGTGTTATAGTCTGTATCTGCAAAAAAAAAAAAAAAAAGGAGTACTTGTGGCACCTAGAGCTCAAATAATTTTTTTAGTCTCTAAGGTGCCACAAGTACTCCTTTTCTTCATTCAGTCTTATGTGGCCACTACAACATAAATCTTTGAACAGCAGTAATGGAAAACAGAAATAAAAATAAAAAGACTTTCTGGAAGATTCTTCCACAACTGTTCTAATTCAAACAACCACTGATAGTTATTAAGAGCAATATAATTATAGTAGCACCTACATGCCCCAATAGAAATTGGTGCCCTACTATGATGGGCACCATACAAATCATATAGCGAGAGACTGTCCAGGCCCTAAATGACTTTCAATGTAAACAGAATCATCATACTAAGAGCAGAAGAAAAAAATATTACCAATATTTTACAAATGGGGATCTGAGGCATAGAGATTAAGTCACTTGCCCAACATCCAGTATTGCCAACGTCAAGTGTTCAATTACCACAAGTCAGGCCTCAAAAAAACCATGAAGTTTTAAAAATAATAAATGTTTAGTTCTTTATCTGCCTTCTAATTCTGACCCTTTATGTTTCACATTTTTCAGCTTTTATCTGCAGCAATGAGGGACAGAAACTTATCTTACTCTTAAATGAAAGGTGAAATTCTCATGTAATCATTTGACTCCCGAAGCTGGGACCAAGAAAAAAAACCCACCACCAAACATTGCAAGATTTGTTGTAAAATTACAAGAGCTGCCAACACTGATTAGGTCACAGAGGGTGGGTGGCGGAACTGGAAATTGGGAGTCAGGAGACCTAGGTTCAATGTCAGTGCATTAGCCATAAAGGCAAACCTTTTCCAAGGTAGACACTAATTAAGAAGAACATATACCAAGTATGGGGAGATACCTATAAAAGCCTACACCTTTCAAGAAACGAAGATGAGGCACTATCAAAAGACAAATGTCAAAACTCCTAGATTTATTTCATGACAGGAAAAATAAGCACAACTTCTGTTAAAAAAATTCCTGCATCTCAGTTTTCAGTGGGAGCTGTTGGCTGTTCAGCACTTTTGCGAAATTGTGACATATTTAGGTGCTTAAACACAGACACAGACTAACATTTAGGATGCCTATTTTTTAAAATACTGGCCTTGATATTTTGAGCATGTCAGCAAAATAGTGGATAAAGGAGAACCAGAAGACAATCTATCTGGACTTTCAAAAATCTTTGATAATCTCCTTTCCCCACAAGGCTACTGAAATTATTGTAATTAGTAATTCGTTTTTAACACCAAGAAAGAGATCTTAGTGTTACTATGCATAGTCCCCTGAAAACTTCCACTCAATGCGCACCAGCAGTCAAAAAGGCTAAGAGTATCTTAAGAACTATTAGGAAAGGGATAGAAAATAGGACAAAATATCATAATGCCACTATATAGATCCATGGTGCACCCAGACCCTGAATATCATATCCAGTTCTGGTTGCACCATGTCAAAAAGGATATAGTGGAATTAGGAAAGGTTCAGAAAAGGGCAACAAAAATGATGTATGAAATGCCTTCCACATGAGGAGAGACTAAAAAAGGTTAGGGCTCTTCAGTTTATGACTGAAACAAATATGATACAAATCTATACAACTATGAATGGTGTAGAAAAAAAATGAATAAAAGAAGTGGTATTTATACTCTCTTAGACACCAGGAGTCATCTGGTGAAATTAATAGGCAGCAGGTTTAATACCAACAGAAGGAAGTACTTTTTCACACAGTGCACACCTAAACAGTTGGACTCATTGCCATGGGATATTGTGATGGCCAAAAGTATAACTGGGTTAAAAAAAGAACGGGATAAGTTTATGGAGGATAGGTCCATCAAAGGCTATTAGCCACAATAGTCAGGGACAAAACCCCATGCTCTGGGCAACCCTAAACCTCTGACTACCAGAAGCCAGGAGAGAAAGACGGGTGGATCACTTCATAATTGCCCTGTTCTGAACATTCCCCCAGAATCTCCAGTATAGGCTACAGTCGGAGACAGGATATTGGGGAAGATGGGCCATGGTCTGACCCAGTATGGCAGCTCTTAAGTTCTTATGTACAGGGTGAAAGATCACTTTCTGTCAGAAATAGGAATCAACTTTGAGACCGAAAAAGTGGGAAAAAATGGTCCCAAATAATACAAAAGTCTGTTAATGTCAGCAGATCAAAATACAGCTGTAAAACACTAAATGATACCATAGTACACTGCCCCACAACTTGTTCAATGTTACGATAACCCACTTCATGTGTTTCTCTTTCTGCACCTGATCCACGAAGGATGAGAATATTACACCCCCCAACTACAGAGCCAGGCTCTTTAGTTCAAGCTTTCCACTATGGAGGTCCGTGGTTTGATCCCTGGCCAAGATGGCAGCCATAATGTAAGTGGGGACTGAAAACATGACCTTGACAAACGCATTATCTGTGAATCAGAGAGGGGGGTGGGGGGGATGCATAATATACACTGACCAGTGGGTTACATGTGCTATTCATAAATTAATATGTACAAGGTATAATATTGAACATTAACTTGAATAGAAGATAGTCAAAAATAATTTAGAAGTTAAAATGTAACAAACGCACCTTTTTAAAAAACCTAGAAGAGTTCAGTAGTTATACCATGGATTACTCGCAGATACATTCCACATGCTTTGGCAATTAGAACTTTTTCAGAAGTATACCGATGAATAAAATGTCAGGAGTGGACCGGGAAGTAAAGGGCAAGTGTCCTATTCCACTTTTACATTTCTCCAAATGCCTTACAAGTAAGCATTGGCTAGTGGATAATCAACAGTGTTAATGCAATACACAATATTGCCCCATGCTTTTCTCTCTTTTCTGTCCATTTCTTTTGCTTCCTGCTTTCTTATTGCTTCCCACTACTTTTCAATTTCTGATGTTTCCACTTCATACCCTACTGCTGCTAACCTAAAGTTTCCACTCCAAATATCGCCATCCACCCTATAGTACCTTTCCCTGCTCTAAGCCAAGTGCTAGCAAAGTAGCAGAATGAAGGTACGTATTTTAATTTGCTGTGCTGCTTGCACCTAAGCTGGCCATCAGGTGAGGCAGGTAGAGCAAGAAGAGAACCCCACAGTGAAGAATCTGTAATATTTGTTACTGAAGGGGTTGGTGGGGAACTTGTGCATAAAGGGATTATGAACACCACAAAATAGCAAGTATTTATGCATGAAATTAGACATTCATCTTCTACCTATGTACCTTAAAATACCTGAGCTTTTCTCCTCGTTTCTCTTTTTTGGACTGTGTGCGTTCAATACTTTCCAAAAAACCCTACTTCATAAGGATACTATCTGCAACTCAAAATACTATATAAAAGTATTTATAAGCTTTAAGAATATGCTTGAAACTCTGGAGCCATACTGCTCTTCATTTGACATCTGTAGTTTCTACAGTATGTGCTTTTGCCTGTTCTCCAAGTTAGATCTGCACTTTAGTGTTAGTGTTCAAATCTGTGAACTGTATGGAGAATCTTACCATTGATCTTTCAGGATATCCAAACAAATGGCCCCAGTGACCGAGCTAATGTTAGGATGCCATATTTTGGTGATAAACCGCACCTAGAATATAACATAAGATTTTTTTTTTAATATAGCTATTAAATAGTCTACAAAAGACAAGACATTCAAAATACCTTTTAAAAAGTTGGAACTACCACATACAGTAAGTTATTTGAATTAATCTTGGAAAGAAAAAGTACTAATTTAAGATAGCCCTGGGACACAGGAGAACACAAGATATACATGAAATAGCATATGCCACCAGGCTTCACTATAGTAAATTTCTGTAGAGAATCTTTTGTCAGGAATCTTGTTCCGTCCAGAGAACAGGATCCCAGGGCTAGGACACAAGGCCCTCTTTCCAATTTTACACTGAGGCCTTTCCCCAACTTCATTTGGATACAAAGAGCTCACTCTCTCCTCAACCACACAAAGCAACTCTGCTTTAAGGCCTTCTCTACACTATTCTCAGTGTGTCAGTGTATAAACTTTAGACAAGAACATATTAGCTCTGCCTTCAGAGAACAGAAAATATGGAAGAGTTTGAGAATGGAGCCATTTATTAACAGCTTGTGTCTGTAAATCACTTTGAAAATATAAAGACCCATGTAAGTGCTAAATATTATTCTTCATTTACTATGAGAAATTAATGGCTGACAAAGTACATTCTGGATATCGAAGCTTCAGAGGAGAGAGAGTTGTGAACACTAGCATAAAGGACTAAGCACTAGCAACTGTAGTCTATACACGGAGCCCCACTCAGACCAGCCTGCCTTCAAACTCCGCAGAAAAGGACTATGAGCACATATTTAACTAATAAGGAACTACAAAACCACATTCCTAGGATTAACAACAAGGCTGAGCACCTGTGCACTGAGAGATCCAAGCAGCTCTTCTACAGATGTTGAAGAAAGAGGCTAACAAGCCCCAAAGCAGCAGTTACTACGCTGTGGTCCACAAACTCCTGGGGCTGCTGCATCCACTCCTTGTTTCAACTCCAGCCAAAACACATGTGGAAGGAAGGAGCTACCAACAGTGGAAGTTTCCATTTTATAAAAAGACCCTTCCCTCCTCCATCCAGTCTCACTCCAGACCCAAAAATCCACACTACCAGAGCTAGAAGCCACCCACCCAAGAAAGTCATCAAACCCTCCATATACAGGCCAGAGTGAAGTGATCCAGGATCCAGTCCAAAGAGGTGCTTTAGGGACTGAGAAAGGGAGCCAAACAAGAGCTAGGTTTGGGGAGGGGGCGGATTTTAAGGAATCAGATGGCTGGGTCAGGAGACACTGGTTCCAGGGACCTGGCTAGAACACAGGAGTACAGAGTTGGGAGAAGGAGCTGGCAGAAGCATGAGACCTGCAGAAAGCACCAAGAAGCAGGGTTTTTAAGGTTTGTAAAGATAGGGAGGGAGGAAGAAATCAGGGCCTAGACAGTAGGTCTGGGCAGGAGGGATCCAGGAAATTTAAATGGGGACAATGAATTGAGTGTATGTAAAGGGAGAGGAGACAGAATTGGAGAGTGCAATAAAATTTGCATGGGAGAGAACGAATTGTATGTGTCCTTTCTCTGTCTCTCACACACACACACACACACACACTATATTCCCCATGTCATACAAGTAATTCTCCCCATGCAAGGAATGAGTGTAATTTCCAGGCGGATGTCAGGCAATCAACAATTGCAGTATGATTTGAAAGGGAGATGGATCCATAATATGTTCAGTCCACTGAGAAGTGGTCACAGTATTACAGTCTGTCCTACAAGGATGAACCTTGAGACATTTCTTCTCAAGGCTGAAAAAACTTTAGAGTTCTACCAAGACAACCTGCCAGCAAGATGAATATAAGATGGTAGCCTGTGCCTTTAAGGACCAGAGGCTTAGGGTAAGCCAGCCCTGGTCAATTATCAAACCCAGCTGGGAAGGAGTAAATGATTATAAAAGCTGGCAAGTGGCTCCGCTGAGGGGGGCTGCAGATACAGACAATCACCTTGCAGCAGTCCCTGAGGAATGAAGTCTCTAGGTGGTAAGCCATATGCATCATAGCTGGGTAGAAAGTTTTGTTTTCCCTTTTTAAGTTTGTGGTCATTTGGACTACTATTAAAGACTAATCTGGTGTAGGTGGTGAAGAAGCTAATGTTTCATATGATGGAGAATGTGGGCACGATGATCAGCCCTACTTCAAGGGGAGAGTGCAGTCAGTTGCAGATTTAAAAGGGGAAACTGAGCCATGGTGCCACACAGCTTCCCCAGGCCACGAGGGGCTGCAGGAACAGCCCACACCGTTACAGTTCAACGGCAACAACATGGTGAGAATGCTAGACTCAAGGCCCCAACATATAAGAGGAAAAGAGCTACCATTGTTATAAGGTACTATCTAAGGGCCCTGTTTGGGGGCTTTGAATCCTCTTCCACCTACTTGGTGTCCAATAAATTTGAAGCACACATACCCTCTGGCAGCTGGAAGACAGGAGTGCACTCTCAATGTGTTGGTATTTGTACTTCCATCTTTCACCTGAGAATCTCTTAACTATTGTCAGGATGGCTTCTGTTATTCTTTCCTTTCCTTCTTCTTTTTTTTTTTTTTTTTTTGGTGTGTGTGTGGGGGAGTATTCCTCCCTTGCAAACAGCTCCAAACCTAAGTCTGATGATCATCATTTTCCCAAATGGCAACAGAATGCAAGTGAAGTGATTCCTGTCCATTCCACTGTAATAGCTGTAGTAAGAGTGCCCTGCATGTGATGATCACTCAAGTCACAACAGAACCAAAACAGCCATCTATAGTTTAGTTATTACTATAGACCTGGAATGTTCAACCCAAATACAACATATGGAGCTCAAGCAACATGTTACTTCTTTACTAGGAGCACATGATATGGGCCTAATATAGCTTTTCTTAAAAAACAAGATTCATCCCTTTGTTTTGAATATGAACAATCCTCTCCAAATCAAATAAGAGCAATCTTCAAGCTCGTTTATCAGAGACTCTTGACAGGAAGTGATGAAGGAGCTGCATGTTTGCTCCACTTCTGCCTCTATCCAGAAAGCGTTAGAAAATAGAAAACAAGGACTCTGAAAAAATAAAGAAATACTGAAGAGGAAGTCCACTACACAGAAATACAACAGATGACATGACATAAGAAAGACATCCACAAAAATGTTTACCTTAGGAGGATTGAAGGGATATGTTTCTGGAATTTTTATCTCTAGTTGATATCTCCCTCCTGCAAAAACCAAACACAAGTGAAAGATTATACTGATTTCAAGAGTGTTAACGTACTATGATCTCAAAAGAAAGTGAAACAAATGTAATTCCAATGTGATTACCCTTACATGGATGCTGTCAAGTAATTTAATCATATCCAAAAAAAGCTAATTTAGTGAGAAATATCTTCCAACTTTTAAATACACATACACACATTGATGCACATACATAAATTCAGCTTATTAAAGCCATATTCCCACATTTTATACAAACCAAATACCTATTTTCAAGATATTCAATTTGTTATTAATCTTCAATTTCCATTTTTTCCTTGTCAGAACACCTCTGTTTCACATTAGTCAAACAGACCTTCAATTTAAAAAATTAGAATACCTAAGAAAGCAGATACTAAAATAAAAATAAATTTATGTAATGATGCCCAGTATTAGTCTGAAACACACACTAAAGAATTATCCATTTCACTCTGACACTTAACACCCTCAAGTTCTCTCTTCAAAATACTCAATCAAAATTAGTTCAATTTAAAATTTAAATTATTTAGAGCTTGAGGATGTTCTGCTGTGTAACTTAAGAAAGGAGTCCTCATTGCTTTCAAGTTCTTCAGTATGCTTTGAAAAGAATAACTCCCAACACTTCAATTCACCAAGTGCTAAATACTACTTAACCACTTACTATGGCTCCGATTCTGCACATACGTATGCATGAGTAATCCCAATGCACTCAACGGGGCTAATAACATGTGTTTGCATGATTGGGACATATAATAAGGGGAGTCAAAGACCATGTCTACACTACAAGGAGACAAATTACATCAACATACAGCTGCCACAGTTAGAATATCGCTTGTGCGCTTGCAGACTTATCACCTTGCATCGACGCAGCACATGCTCACAGGAAATGCTTGTGTCAATACAATGCAGTGCACCATGGGTAGGTATCCCAGTGTGCAACCTGCACTGTTCAGCACACTGACTTTTGGGTAGTTGTGGCAATGCCTGGTGGGGCAGGAACGAATCTCGCAGCAGTGACTGGAACAATGGCTCAACTTCCCGTAAGTCAATGTTCTCCATCCCATAATATCTCTGTGCCATAGTTTTTGTGCCTAATTTCAAATTTTCATGAACTGATGCAGGACTTGTCGCTGTCTGCCATCTCTGACAGTAGCATAGGAACCTACACAGCTCTGCACTATTATCACAAGCATGGCAACCACAGGATGCACTATCCTCCAGTATTTGTGGAGCCACAAGAAGAACGCATGGAGAACGTGACGATTTCCAGGCGGTCAGGTTGCTGTGGGACATAGTGAGAACCAATTCAAGGTTGTTGGCATTCATGGAGAAGCTGCAGATGGTGGTGTGCCCCTTCTGGTCCCCAAGAAACAAATAGTGACTTGGGGGTCACATCATAACACAGACTGTGGATGATGAGCAGTGGCTGGATCTGTGTGCCAAACTGTCCCAGACATCAAGCGCAAGGACACCAAATAGAGCTGCACTGAGAGTGGAGAAGCGAGTGGTGATCACACTTCGGAAACCTGGCGTGCCAGATTGCTACCAGTCAGTGGGAAGTCATTTTGGAGTTGGAAAAGCCATAGTGGAGACTGTTGTCATGGAAATGTGTAGGGCCATTAATTGTCTCCTGCTACACAGGACTGTGACTGTTGGCAACGTGCAAGACATAGTGTATGGAGTTGCAGCTCTGGGGTTCCCAAACTGCAGTGGAGCAATAGGCCACACGGACATTCCCATTTTGACTCCAGACCACCTTGCCAGACAGTACATCAACAAAAAGGCCTACTTTTTCAGAGTTATACAAGTGTTGGGGGACCACAGGGGACGCTTCACTGACATCAGTATTAGCTGGTCAGAGAAGGTGCATGCCGCTCACATCTTTAAGAACATATACTATTCAGAAAGCTATAAGCAAGGACTTACTTTCCTGACTGCTGGATTGTCTGTGACAATGTTGAAATGCCAACAGTGAGCTGGGGTATCCAGACTACCCATTGCTCCCCTGGTTCATGAAGCCATACATCGGTCACATCAACAGCAGCAAGGAAAGATTCCACGCATGCTCAGCAGGTGCAGAATGACAGCTGAATGTGCTATTGGTAGAGTGAAAGGGCACTGACATGGTTTACTCACCAGATTGGACTCAGTGAGAAAAATACCCCACTGGTAATAACTCTCTCTTGTGTCCTACATAATATTTGTAGGAAATGGGGAAAACATGCAGTAGGGGTGGAGGGAAGATGTGGAGCAACTATCTGCGGAGTTTGAACAGTCAGACCCAAGGGCTATAGATGAGCTCAACAAGTAGCTATAAAGCTTAGGGAAGGCTTGAACGAGCACTTAACAGCAAGTGACAATGTACTGTGATACTGTGTTCAACCTGGGGAGGCAGTTTGTGGGCCTGTTAGGAATAGTGTGGGGCTTACTGCACATCTGTGCATATATCAAGGACAGTTAAGGCTCTGTGTCTATCACGAAGGTCACAGATTCCGTAACTTTCCGTGACCTCTGCAGCAACTAGTGTGGCTGACCCCAGGGCCAGCTGCTCAGGTGGCCCCAGGGACAGCCAGATCAGCCACTGCTCAGGCACCTGGCCACAGAAACCACTTGGGCATTTGGCCCCGGGGACCGTCCAAGCAGCAGCCAGTGTGGCTGGCCCCAGGGACTGCCTGAGCAGCAGTCCCAGGGGTGGCCACCAGCAGTGGTCCCAGTCCTGCCCCTCCACAGGCAGCCTCAGGGGTGGCCGGAGCAGCCACTGCTCAGTGGCCCCTGGCAGCAGTCCTGGAGCAGCTGCTTCCCCCCCACCCCACCCCGAGCAGCGGCCTACCCCCTAGGCCATCCCTCAAAATTTAGTCAGGGGTATTTATAGTATAAGTCATGGACAAGCCAAAGGCCATGAATTTTTGTTTATTGCCCATGACCAGTCAATGACTTTTACTAAAAATACCTATGACTAAATTGTAGCCTTAATGACAGTGCACCTATTACTATGGGGGGGGGGGGGGGGGTTTGCTGTACATTTACATTTGCAGTACTGTTTGGCAGTGATACGATGGGTAGTGAGTGTACAAGACCACTATTTGCATGTTTTGTAAACTAACAAAGATGAATTACTTTCAAAACAAAATAGTTTTACTGACTATTTTCATGAAGAATTTAAAATGAAATACATTGTAACTTTAAAAAATTAAGAACCTTAATAAATTAACCAAAGGCAGAAACACTGATGTCAACTGTAGCTACACATAAATCAGCTGTGACTCTTGCAGGTCAGTGTATGTGAAGCTATGGTTGTCCAAGCTTTCCCTCAGTGTGGAATGGTAGGGGTAGGCTTGCTGGCCCTGAGGAATGCTGAGGGGACATGTAGGAAGGCACTATGCTGTAGCTCTCCATTGACTGCAATGGCAGTCGAGCCCGAGACTATTGAACTTGGAGGTCAAGGGTCTGCATTTGCTTTGCTCCACATGGCTCCCAAACTCTACAGGGAAATGAAAAGCAGATAGCAACTCTCTCTCTCGGTTGTAGCACTGCCTGTTCTAGTGCAAATAAATTAATGAAAGCTCATAATTTATGTCCCACTAATTTGAGTCGCACCATCCCTGTAATGGAAAATTTATTTACATACTTACCTGAGGTTCCTTCCCCTGCATCAAGCTTGCCCATGCTCAATTGGCAGGACTGTGGTAGAGTCCAACAAAAGTCCTGGCTCGCTGCACAGCCGGATCCCCCAGCAGCCTGTCCCCCATATTTCTCCTCCTCTTCCTTGTCCACTTCCTTCTCCTTGCAGATCATGGCAGGGCCTGTGACTCAGGCTCCTCAGAGGTATCCATGGAGGTGTGTGGGGTCTCTGCCAAGTATGACATGCAACTATTTTTAAAAGCATCATGTCTGTGGCTCTGCACCCAATCGATTGTTGGCCTCCCTGGCCTTCTGGTATGCCTGCTGCAGTTCCTTGGTTTTCCTGTGCACCGCTGCTGGTTCCTGTTGTATGCCTTCTCCTGCATCCCACAAGCAATCTGCTTGTCGATGTCTTAACAGCTGGTTAAAAGTTGCACAGCCTTCTTCCACAGGCCCAGGAGATACAATTTCTCCTGTCTACTCCAGGCAGGAGCACATTTGAATTATGTAGCCAAATAATCAGCTGGACTTTTGCACGCAACAATGGATTGCTGTTAGGTGTGGTAGCTCAGCTGGGCATTCAGGAAAAGGCATTTCAAAAATTTGCAGATGTTTTAAAGGAGGGGACTACCGATCTATGAGACACCTGAGTAGTGGAGCTCACAATTGTGACTAGAGGTCAGTGTCACTTATTGAGAAACAGTTGCTGAAAAAAACTGTTATGGTTGACACTCGCATTACATTGACCTCCATACGTCGACCATGGTTGTACACTGCTTGGGGAGGTGGTGTTAGTATGTTGGCATAATGGGGCACTTATATCAGTGGGAAACACATTTCAGTATAGACACATGCATAACTAGGTCAACACGAGGCAGCTTATGTTGACCTATCTTTGTAGTGTAGACCAGGCCTTAGACATCCAAACCCTTGCTATAATACGGTTTCTTGCTAGAAACATTTCTACAAGCATTTATTATTTCAGTATTATACTACCTATTCCTAATAATACCTCCTTTGGGGGAGTAAAGCATTTCTTATTCCAAAGATATTGTTAGCAACATTTATAATCCTCTACCAATATTTCTGTATTTTCAGGCAATACCAACCTATCTACATTCTCTTTTTATTTGCAATTTCTCCTGCACTGCTTGCCTGGCAGTAATTTCATGGATCATAGCACTGCAAGAGATTAATAGAATCTATATAACAATTTATATTGAGTTTCCATCAAGTTGCAGGCCACAGCATTGTTCCTTGTATACATTATTCTCTCATTCCATTCTTGTTCTTCTATTTGGAAGTCAAAAGCTTTTCCTCCCATTTATCCTTACCAGTTTACTTTGTAAGATTTTATATATTCTAG